AACATCAAGAAATTTTGGAAGCAACTCTTGAGATTTAGGTAACAACTTTTTGGATTTTTGGTAATTTTTTTGGCTTTCCAGTGAGCATCCACCCTTCCAGCACTTTACGAATACAATTGGGACAGGCCTATCCGGCACCAACAAGCTTCTACTTCAAATCAATACTGACCCTTAAATAGCCCTTCTGCCTTTGACGACAGCGACAGACTTATCGTTCATAATAGCTTCCCAGTTTTCTGATCCATATCCATAGATTTCGACCAGTCACATGGAATCGAAAGAAACATACATACCTACATACATATGTTAATTGACCACTCCCCATGGGGGTTTTTCAGGGAAAATTCCCACCCAACAACCACCCCAGGGGAGGACATCCATCACACAGTAATCTGGTGCATGGGAAATTAACGTCTCCTACCCCTAACCCTACAGGAGACGGGACCTCCATTTATTCGTCCCTATCCGAGAAGACTAGAGTATCTAACCATTTCTTAATTGAAAGGTAGCATATTCTTCTCACTTGTTTTAAGATCTGGAGTGTTGGTCCGAATATCCCAACGGAGCCACAATGTACACTCGGCTTTTGTTATTTTTGCTTATTTGTTATTTTGTTAGGATTTCTCATCAGCATCTCGTTTCTATATTGCATTCATGATTTTCAAAAGAACAATTTCATTTCAGGTTTTCATGCCGTGTTTCCTAAGTTTACTTCTTGAGAGAATTATACTCTTACTTGGATCACAAGTATTCTCAGAAATCTTTCATCTCCAGACTCTAAACGGTACCGCGCGGCAGAAATAGACCTCTGGCTGGTAGAAATGGTAAGCTTAGAGTAGAAAATGACTGCGAAACAGAAGATCGCATTCCACTGGCTGTCCCACGCGAACAATTTATGTTGGGAGAAACTAAAGCACGAGCATTATTTTAAAGGCAAGAAACTGAAGGCTATAGGCCGTGGTGAGTACCATCTTTTTTTTTTAATCAATTGAAACAGTCCTGTTTATAAGCTACAGTTTCCTTTACACAGCCGGAACAAGTTCATCATTTCAGTTTAGCGCGTTGTTCTGTGATACTAAACGGAAGGCGTTGGGAGATAATTATTGAAATGTTTGCGATTAAAATAAACCGATAAAAACTGCTCAAACGAGAAGACAATCACAAACTGCGACGTCAAGCATTTTAAATTTCATCTAGATCTGAGAATTATATTCGATCCAATTTAGTCGCATACAATCGGCTCTGGTCAAAGTGATTTCTATTCAGCTACCTCTTAACCCAACCCCTTTAAAGTCCACCACAACGTTGTACTGTCAAATAAACTCCTCGCAAAAGAATCTTAGCTGCGTAAAAATGGAAATCGGATGTTACGGAAAGATAAGTGGAATTCTAGGTACTCA